TCTTCTGTTCAGTTCCATTGATCCACCATTCTGTTTCTATGCCAGTACCATACAGTTTTTATTACTGTTGCTCTATAGAACAGCTTAAGGTCAGGGATAGAGATACCTTCAGATCTTTTATTGTAGAGGATTGTTTTAGCAATTCTGGGTTTCTTGTTATTCCATATGAAGTTGAGAATTTTCCTTTCCAGGTCTGTAAGGTCTGTAGAGAATTATGTTGGTAATTTGATGGGAATTGCATTGAATCCGTAGATTGCTTTTGGTAAGATGGCCATTTTTACTATGTTAATCCTGCCAAGCCATGAGCATGGGAGATCTTTCCATCTTCTAATATCTTCTTCTATTTCTTTCTTCAGAGACCAGAATTTTTTTTCATACAAGTCTTTGACTTGCTTGGTTAGGGTTACACCAAGGTACTTTATGTCATTTGTGGCTATTGTGAAGGGTGTTGTTTCCCTTATTTCTTTCTCATCCCTTTTGTCTTTTGTATACAGGAGGGCTACTGATTTTTTTGAGTTAATTTTTTATCTGGCCACTTTGCTGAAGGTTTTTATCAGCTGTAGTTCCCTGGTAGAGTTTTTGGGGTCACTCATGTATACTATCATATCATTTGCAAATAGTGCCATTATATGTTACTTGGCCTTTTTCCCTTGCAGCTCTTAGTATTTTTTTTTTGTTCTGTATCCTTTCTGTTATTATGTGACTTATCCTCACTTATTATGTGACAGAAGGATTTTCTTTTCTAGTCTAATTTATTGGGTGTTCTGTAGGCCTCTTGTATTCTTATTGGCCTCTCCTTTAAGTAAAGGAAATTTTCTTCAATGATTTTGTTGAAAATATTTTCTGGGCCTTGGAGCAGGGAATCTTCTTTTTCCTCTATTCCTATTATTCTTAGGTTTTGTCTTTTTATGTTGTCTTGAATTTCTTGGCTGGTCTAAGTTAGGAATTTTTTAGATTTAACATTTTCTTTGACAGATATATCTATTTCTTCCATTGTATCTTCCACATCTGAGATTCTTTCTTCCATCTCTTGTAGTCTATTGGTTATGCTAACCTCTGTAATTCCTGTCTTCTTCCCTAAGTTCTTTCTCTCCACAATTTCCTCCATTTGTGTTTTCTTTAATTTTTCCAATTCTATCTTCAGATCTTAAGCCGTTTTATTGATTTCCTTCACCTGTCTGACTATATTTTCCTTCAATTCCTTCAACTGTTTTATTTCTTTCAGTGATTTAACTATTTCCTCTCTAAAGGCCACAAATTGTTTGGCTGCAACTTCCTGTATTTCTTTATGGATGTCCATAATCTGTTTGTTTTTATCTTCCTCTATTTCTTTACGGATGGCCATAATCTGTTTGAGTTTATCTTCTTCTAGGTCTTTCCGTATTTTATTTTTTTCCTCTGTTATCCTCTTCATGAGTATAGATGTTAGGTCATCTTCTTGAATTTCAATTATGCTGGGGTGTTCAGGACTACTTGCCCCTGGATAACTGGGTTCTGGAGATACCATATTGCTCTGTCTTTTGTTGGTTGAGCTTCTACACTGGCCTCTACCCATTGGGCTATCTTAGGTGTTTGGAGTTAGTTTCTGGTGGTTCCTGGAATCCTATGGTGGAGAGAATCCCCTTGGCAGGAAGATGGTTTTTCCTGAAGGAAGCCTTCTCAGCTTTTTTGGGTATAGTCACTGGATGGCCGGTGTTTTTCAGGAGTTGACACTGCTCACCTCAGGCATAGAGACATGAGGGTAACTGTGGTCCTTGTTAGTTGAGAAGGCTCTCCTCTCACCTGGAGAAGTCCTGAAGACAGCTGCCTTGCTTCTGGGTTTCTTACTGTAAATTTAGTGATCTGCTGCTGTAACCTGTGTGTCCCATGGTTTGGTCAGTTTTGTTAAGGATAACTGGTTGCCTCTTGAAGCAGTATCTGGGGGTTGATCTCAGAGATTCTGGGCTTTTGTAGGTCTGAGGTTGGGGCTCTGTGCCCCAGTACCCACCCAGTAATCTGTGGTGGATGGGTACCGTTCTCCTGGTAACAGCAGGCTATCTGGTGCACAGCAGGTCCCTGGGTTGGGCCGGTCTGTGGGACCTTTTCCAAGGATATACTGGGTGGCCTAAGTCCATCCCCTTTGCTTCATTCTCTGTGAGGATTTCTCCTGACAGTGACTCCCAGTCTCTGTTGCCCTGGGGCACACAGCTCTGTCTGTGCCAGAAAGCTGGGTGTGCAGCAACTGTCTGTGCTCGTGGCTGGAGCCCAGTTCAGTGATGGAAACTTTTTCCAGGGAAAGACTGGGTGACCCAAGTCAGTACCGTTTCCTTCCCTCCTTGTGGGGTTTTCTTGCGACTGGTACCCTCAGTCTCTGGTGTTTTTTGTGCCCACTGATCATCCTAGGAAGGTGATCAGGTCACGCAGGCATGTGGCTCTGGTCTGGTGACCTAGTGCCTGGGCAACCTGGGATCTCTTCTGGGTTCTGGCTGGGTGACCTAAGAGTGGACCCGACTGATTCCCATGCCATGGGGGTTTCCTCTCACCTTGGAAACATGATCGTTGTTGTTTTAGGACCCAGAGTTCAGTCTCTTGGTCGCTGTATGGAAAATGTTGTCCTGCTCCTCAGACGCAGTGTTCTCCTGGAGCCGCCATCTTGTCCCCTCATGAGTTTCTTTTCCTCATCAACTCCTTTTAAAAGCCAACTGACTAGCTACGTCTGGTATTATGTGAGTGCCTGGATGTGGAAGTTGGAGTGAGACATCCCTCAGAACCCTCCTCCATTGCTGGTGGGAATGTAAACTTGTACGACCACTTTGGAAATCAATCTGGTGCTTTCTCTGACAGTTAGGAATAGTGCTTCCTCAAGATTCAGCCATACTACTTGTAGGCATATACCCAAAAGATGCTCAAATATACAACAAGGACATTTGCTCAACCATGTTTGTAGCAGCTTTATTTGTAATAGCCAGAAGCTGGAAATAGCCCAGATGTCCATCAATGGAGGAATGGATACAGAAATTGTGGTACTTTTACACAATGGAATACTACTCAGCAATTAAAAACAAGGAAATCATGAAATTTGCAGGCAAATGGTGGTATCTAGAAAAGATCATCCTGAGTGAGGTATCCCAGAAGCAGAAAGACACACACGGTATATACTCACTTATATAGACCTATAAGATAGGATAAACATACTAAAATATATGCACCTAAGAAGATAAAGAAGAAAGAGTACCCGGAGGAAGATGATCAATGATCTATCCTCACTATCTGAGGATATCCTCAGATATCCTCACTATCCTCACTATTGTCACTATAAAGACAAATGGGATATACATGAGAAGTAGGAGAAAACAAGTAACAGGACAGAAGCCTACCACAGAGGGTCTCTGAAAGACTCTACCTAGCAGTGTATCAAAGCAGATGCAGAAACTCATAACCAAACCTTCGACAGAGTACAGGGAATCATATGATAAAAGGAAGAGTTAAAATGACTGGGAGAGGACAGGAGCTCCACAAGAACAAAATATATCAGGGCATGGGGGTGCTCTATGAGATTGTTTTCCAACCAAGGACCATGTATGGATATAACCTAGAACCCCTTGTCAGATGTAGCCCATGGTAGCTCAGTAACCAAGTGGGTTTCCCTAATAATGGGAACAAGAACTATTTCTGACATTAACTCAATGATTGGTTCCTTTACCTCCCCACCCCCGAGGGAGGAACAGTCTTGCTAGGCCACAGAGGAGGACATTGCAGCCAGTCCTGAAGATACCTGATAAGCTAGGGTCAGATGGAAGGGGAGGAGGACCTCCCCTAGCAGTGGACTTGGAAAGGGGCAGGGAGGAGATGAGGGACGGAGGGTGGGACTGGGAGGGATTAAGAGAGGGTGCTATGGCTGGGATACAAAGTAAATAACTTGTGATTAATATAAAAATTAAAAACTATTCCATCTCCAATTGATAATGATGCTTAGGTAATTTAAAAACTGTGGCCTTTTTGGAGAAAGTATGTCACTGGGAAAAGACTTTGATAGTTTAAAGACTCCCAGGATTTCTAGTGCTTTCTCTGTGCTTTGTACTTACTGTTCTAGAGGTGAGCTCTCAGCAGCTTCCTGGTCCTGTCACCATGCCCTTGACTCCACCACCACGGACTCTAACTTATGGAACTGTAAGCCTAAATAAACTCTATTATAAGTTGCCTTTGTCATGATGTTTTACCCCAGCAATAGGAAAGTAACTAGTACACTGAAAAAGAAACATGGAGCAATGATCCTTCAAGGAGGTGCAAGGATTTTGACTTGAAAAGAGTCCAAGGTGCAAAGTACAGTGGGGAGCGGGGGATGGACACCAGTTGTGGTGTAAGGATAAAGCCAAAAGCATAGATATAAAAAAGTCAGGGAACAAGATACCAGTTGCAAGAGGAGTGAAAGAATCATGAAGGTGAGGCTGTTCTAGCTGGCCCTTATGGCATGTGGTTGTATGGAGATAAAGCAAATAACTCCTCAGCCCAGCACGCATATGTCTCTTTCTTGCCGAGTTAGCTCTATATTCTGATGTCCATCCTGCCATTAGGATGGCATTTAAATCAGCTCAAGGTGACACAAGCCAGTGCATACTGGGAACCTGCTTGTTTGCTGATAAGCACATCACTGGGGGTGTGGTGAGTCATTTAGAGCCATGGGAAATAAATGCTCTGGCAATACACAGTAGGTGAAATAAAAGTTGTAAAGTTGGCCCTGCTTCACCTACGCAGAATAAATACAAAATTACATCCACCATAACACCTCTAAAGAAAAAAGTTTGTCGTGCTATAACAAGAAGTAGCAATCAGTAGAAACAATTACTAATGGCACACAAATTCAAACCTCCAGATAAATAAGCACCTAAAAAATTATGAGCTGACAGCCCTTACTGAACTGTGTATAATTTGGCACTAATTAGTAATTTGACAATACTTTAATGCAACCAGGGTTCTTAGAAAAAATCATTTCCATTTTGCACTATTGAAAACAACCCAGAGTGCTCGCTTCGGCAGCACATATACTAAAATTGGAACGATACAGATAAGATTAGCATGGGGCCCTGCATAAGGAAAACAACACAGAGCTTTTAACTAATTTCGTTCAGCTATGGAGAATGCACTACTCAACCATATCTAGAATGTAATAGAATAACTCCAGGAAAAGGTCTAGGATGAAGATTCTTTCATGATCATGAGTATTCTCTAAATAAGGGCAGGTAATTCTATTGTGTTTGTTTTTTTTTTTTAACAGAAAATTATAGTTCAATCCTCAGGAATAAGGACAAACATATTCATGTGCCTCCATATTTCATGAACCTTACACCATTAACTTCAATCTCTTTTTAATATTTTTATTTTCATTATTTTTACTGTGTGTGTGTGTGTGCATGTGCAGTTGTGTGTGCTGATATATATATATATATATATGTGTGTGTGTGTGTGTGTGTGTGTGTGTGTGTGTGTGTGTGTGCCAAGAACAGAGAAGGATTTCAGATGACCTGCTATCACTCTTCACCTTACTCCTTTGATACAGGATCACTCAATAAACCAGAAGTTAGGTGGACAGCCAGTAAACCCTACCAGTCCTATTGTCTCCATCACCGCTCTGCTACCACTGGGGTTACAGACTAACTTACCCTCACGGGAATTTTTTTTTTAACTTTTTATATAGGCGCTAAAGACTCAAACTCTGCTCTTCATGTTTGTACTTGGTAACATTCTTGGCTACTGAGCCAATCTCCGCAACCCCATTATCCTGAATTCTTAACGAACAAATGACTGATTTAAAAACAGGTTCTATGTTGTTAATGCTTCCTAACTAATTAGGCATATGTGTGCCTTTTGCTGGGGCTTCTTTAGAACTGCAACTAGTAACATGACAAAAAAAAAAAGAAAGAAAGAAAAACTAATTCCTTGTAACAATAATTTCACTTATTTTGCTAGGGATGCAGATTTAGAAATAATCTACTCTTTACCAGCTCCTGATAAATTAAAACATATAGTGACGTTAAACAGTAATTTGGATATTTTACCAACTTTATATTTTGGCAATGTTTCATGCCTCATTTGCCTTAAAACTCATTAGATTAGTGCAACAACACGTTTTAATTCAATAGGTTTAAACTTATTTTTCCAAGAAAGTTGGGCCCTGCTTGTTTTCGATGCTTTCATGCTTCAGTTAATATATTGCAAATTTTCCTTTTTCTGTTTGCTCTGTTTTCCTTTATATACCATTTGTTAAAGGTTCTTTATCTTGAGCAAGAAGGAACAGATGAAAAGTAAATTATTCCCTTGGGCTTGTGAAATAGTTTGTCTCTACATCTACAATCTCAATGATTTCTTATATTTTACTGAGCCTTTAACTTGTAACGAGTGTATGCACTAAAGCTAATGTTTCAATGGGAAGAAACAGAGACCGGCATTTGGGAGGTTGCCAGTTGAGGACAGTGGTGGAAAGTATTTATTTTGCAGAACCCAATCACCCCAGCAGTGAGAGCAGTGAGGCACTGGACAAGAAGCAGACTTCTTTATGCCCTAGCACAACCCTGGAGAACTCTAGGACCCTGTAGATGCCACAGTGGTGTGTGTGTATATGTATGTTTGTGTGATTGTGTGTGTGTGTGTGTTTGAGATGTGATCTCACTATGTCTCCCTGCCTGGCCTTGAACAGAGGCTCCTCCAGACTTAGCTTCCCAAGTTCTTATGTTACAGGATATGCCACTAATCCTGTCTCTCATTTCTTTTCACTTAGTTTTATTCTCTTTTTACCTCTCCATTGACTTCTTTTCCACACTTTACTTAGCTATGTGAATCGATTGTCCTACCAAAATATGAATAAACCTTGAGGATATTATGCCAAACAAAATAATGCAATCACAAATGGATAAATGCTGCACGATTCTACTATGCTTTGTACCTGTAATAGTCAAATTCACATAAACGGAAAGAATCATGGCTACTAGGGGCTATGTTAAAAAAAAATATTCATGTAGTATAGAGCTTTGATGAAGAGTGTCAAAGACAAAAATGATGATGTTTGTATCATAGTATAAATGTATTTAATACAACCGAATGGTATTAAATGCTAAAAAAATGGTCTAAGATAGAGGACCACAAAGATGGTTTAGCAGTCATAAGGACTTGCTGCTCTTACAGAGGATCCAAGTTCAGTTCTCATCGCCTTCATGGTGGCTCCTAACAGACTGTAACCCCAACTCCAAAGAATCTTGCTCCTGCCTTTGACCACCACAGTCAACACACATAGCGTATATGCATATATGTAGGTAAATCTGATACATACCAAATGCATCAGATGCATTAAAATGTTTAAACAGTGTGTTTCACACTGTATGTATTTGCCACACACAGAATGTATTAAAAAGTTAACTATCTAGATTCTTAGGTGTCTGATCTATTCTTCTTTCTCTTTTCTTCTTTCTTTCTTTCTTTCTTTCTTTCTTTCTTTCTTTCTTTCTTTCTTTCTTTCTCTTTCTTCCTTCCTCCTTGTCCTCCTCCTTGTCCTCATTGTCCTCCTCTTCCTCTTCCTTCTCCTTTTCCTTTTCCTCTTCCATCTCCTCTTGCTTTTCCTCCTCCTCCTCCTTCTTTACTAATCTAACTGTACTTTTTCTCTCTGGTCCAATTCTGGCTTCAGGCTGCATCCTCACACCCCTACCTCCAAGTTTTCTTTTTATACCAGCCACAGCAGCAAGTCCTGAATGACAACCACTCAGCTAGAATCATAGCTCAGCTCTTTCCTTTCTTTTGACAAATTCTAACATAGCATGTATTATTTTAGCTTCCCAGAAAGCTACTAAGTGCATATAATGTCACTGTCATATTCCTATGAGCATTGGTAACCCCCAAAGAGTATGTACTCAATAAATTTCTACTACTTTGTTAATTATCGCCCTTTTCAGATGAGATGGACCGAGTTGAAACTTTGCATTTTTCTTCCTTATATACCTTAATCTCATATCTGTAATTCCTATTAATATTATTTTCCCAAGTAAAATTTCTTTCCTTGAACATTTTAAGAACCATAGCTTCAAGTTCACCAAGTTGAAAAGCTGAGCTGTAACTGTATCAGTCCTTAAGGAAATCTGGAGTCACCTTCTCCTGTCAGATATCACAGAGAATAAGAGACCCTTCCTTCTTCCTCCTCAGGAGACTTGTGGACATCTCCAGTCACTTTAATGATACTTTGGTTGTTTTTGGGAATCTCTGATACCTAGCTGAAAGATCAAAACAGTACATCTGATTACCTACCTCTGTAAAGTTGTCTTTTATTATGCCAATCTACATACAGTCCTCTTGTAATTACTGTCTATTATCATTATCTTCTAGATAAGGAAATGACTCCAGAAACAAAGTAACAAAGGTGCCTTCCTCCATACAACCAGACTCAGACAAATCACTCTCCTTCTGTCTGGCTCAGAGCTGACACAAAAAGAAAAGTTATGACTGTTGATAGAAAAGAACGATGATATAACCATGGCTACATTTCATTCTAAATCCTAATGTGAACATAAGACATGTGTTGGACGGTAAGCTTGTACATTTGTACTGTAAGCAGCTAAACTTTAGGTCCTCTGTAGCCATGCTGAACAATATGACAACAAGGGGCCATGCACGGCTATAGAGAACTGCACATGGCTATAGAAAGGTTTGCATATTGAAGGAATGGTTGCTTGGATTCAGTTATTTAAATAAAACATTTAAAATTATTCCTCCCTTTTATTTATATACTACTGCAGAATCTTTTATACAGCAAACATGATGATTCCACTGGTCTCAGCTATGAGTCATCAGAATGAGGAGACTTCTGCTCTACCTTAGTGTTCATTGCTCTTGGCTACAGCAGTAGTCCTCAAGCTAACACAACTGAGATGGAACTCTCTGAGACCAATCAATCAGCAGCACATTTGTAAGAAGCAATCATCCCTTGCCATCTATCACTGCAGTAATGCAGATTGAGATTTTTCTGGATCTGCTAGGACTTGGCAGTTACCCCAGCCCCTGGGGACTAGCATTTATCCAGTATGTGAAGAAAACAATGTGCCTCTTTTGCTAAAATAAGTTCTCTCCACTTAACACAAGCAATCTAAGGTGATGAATGCTAATTTCCTTCAAACTATCCCCATGGGGGAAAAAAGTACCTGACAAAACAGAGTACTTTATAGAAAGGTCAAGTTCTGTTAACAAAGTTGATTTTACTTGCTATCTGTGCGTTACCCTTGTTTTCTCTCTGACTAGAGAAGGTTTGCTGGGAAACCTTTGAGGTTCAGTAGATAGAAACAATGGGAATGGATTGTGATTTTTTTTTAAACCGGCTAACTTAGCATTGAAATGTTCACAGTGTCAAGTGGGAAATTAATAATTACACCACTTCTTACTGCTGAATATCTGTCAAGGAGAACAAAACCTTGTCAAGTAGAAGCATAGCAGAGGATGGGAAGCATTTGTGACACCATCCCGTGTCTCTGTATGAAACAGCAAATCAAAGACAAGTTCAATATGTTTTCCCCCCGCCCCAAAGCTAATAGACATAGTACTAGTATAGTGGGACAAATTAAATTAATTTGGTATTCTGCCTGCCTCAAATTATGTATCAAGAAACAAATCCTACCGCATTAAAATATAAAGATTTAAGCTGGTGACATGGCTCTGCAGGGAAGGGTACATGCCACTGAACACCCAGAGCCCTGGTGTTAAGAGAGAACCAATTGCAATAAGCTGATCTCAGATCCCCACACATGTGCACACTGTCACCCCAATAATGTCAACTTAAGTCAAATATAGTTTAAAAAAAATCTCAATGAGGCAGGAACCAAATTTTAGCATTATATAGATTTATATTAATCCAGGGAATGTCTACTCTCACATTAATGAAAATAAGGCAAATCAAGTTTCTATTAGTGACATTAATAAGAGAACTCTGAACATGGATTCTGTTAGGGTACCTATTCGAATCTGTTTACTGTGACCATTTATGATCTGGCTGCAAGATGGGTCAAGCCAGCAGTCAATGTGTTTAATTTGAAAGATTATATTCTCTGAGATTGTCCTGAAAATAGAGCAAATATGTTAGCCCCCTCCCCCT